GGCACACTACAAGGACCCCCTCCTCCTCAAATGACTACATAAGACTCACAGGAGCACCCCCTAACCATGATTACCTGTGACTAGACCCTCAAAATTCCCATTTTTTGCCTCAGAAATGAGCTAAATGATCTTGTCCCCATTGGTCAATGGGAACAAAGTGTTGTTAGTCAAATTTTGGTTAAGCTTCTTTCCTGCTCCTTGGTGCCTGAAGTTTGGCCTACCTTCAGCCTAGGCCAGAAGAGAGTCCCTCCTGTGAACAGGCTGGCCTCAGAGTAATACTTTCTCTGACCTACTTTCACATCATTCCCCTCACCCTCTCTTTCACATGACTCTCCAGTACCTAGACCTTTCTAGCCTTGTTTACTCTTTTTATAAAATAAAAACAACACCTTTTTGTCTAACTCAGGAGACACACTTTCATTCTCCCTATCTCCAAAGTCTTCCTCCCCATTTTGTAATAATCTTCCAAACTCCACCCCACCCCTTGCAATAACCCTTTTGAATAAAGTCTCCCTTTACTAAGTCAAAGTTTGTTTCCTATTTGACACTAAATTTGGTCTCCTGCTTTTGACTGGTTCCATGTCAGAGCCCACCGTGTTCACACTCCCATCTCAGAGATCAGCTCTAGTCACCGTCCAGTCTGTGCAAATTTCCAGAAGGGCTTCCTTTGTCTTTTTGCTGCCTTGTTCTTCAGGCATCTGAGCAGAAAAAGATATAGACTTCTGCATTTGTTGTTCCTGGGGCTATCTGCATGTGTTTCTCCCCATCTGAAATTTTTTTTTTCCTGATTTCTGAGTAAAGCATTCCCTTTCTGTTTCTTAGGCACACTTGGTTATTTTTTTCTTTAATATTTGCATAGAGGCATACATACAATTTTACACTTAACCTTGCCTACCATGGGGCCTCCTGACAATAGTCTTAGATGAAGAATTAAGAGTAACATTTGTTTTAGGTGGGGGGAAAGGCTGTATGTTTTGTGCAGAACCAAACATTCTGAATTGAATCAAAAGATAGTTTTTGGAAGCTAAAGTTTTGCTGATTTTATTGTCAAAGCTGTGATGGCAATCAGTTTTTCTATGTTCAAATTATGTAATAGTCTGTAATTTTGAATTGTCTAAAGCAGTTTTAAAAGAAATGTTGTTTTAAAGTTTCTAAGGAAAACCGGATAACACATCTCATGTTTATTCATTCAAATTATGTTTTGTGGAATGGTTCCCATGTGCAAAGTGGTAGGCACAAGTTGGAAATACATCTAACAAATCAAGCATGGTCCTTCCCCTTCCCTTAAGAAGCTCACTTTTTTATAAGAGAGATGAATATGAAATAACTAATTAACATTTTTAAAAAATTACAAATATGAAAAGTGCTGCCAAGGAGCACTAACCTGCCAAGGAGCAAGGAATGGAGTGGGGTAGGAAAGGATAGGTATAAGTAGGGTTTCAAATAACTCAGGGAAAATTAAAAAGATAATCTAAGAAACAACAAAGTGATCAGTTGATAAATGAGCTACCCAGAGACTGGTAGCTGGTGCCAAGTGCTCTTCCTATTTGTTAAACATAGGTATAAATCTATGGGCAACTAGTACAGTATTTTGCACAAACTAGGCACTTAGTATTTAAGACCTGAATAAGTGATGCTTCATCAACAGGTTAAATGATACATTTCAAATTCTGAAAAGTTGACTAAAGAGGTTGACAATTAGTAAAGAATTAAGAGGAAAGATAAATTCAGGCATCTCCTTGGTAATTTCTCTATTAGAAGATAGTTCTTTAGAATGATCTGTTTTTGAATGATATGTTACTTATATTTGGCTGCTGTAATTATTCAAAGATGAAAGGAGGAAACACTTTTAATGGGGAAGGAAATGAGGGAGGGGAAGCAACAGAAAATGGAAAGGGAGTTTAAAAACAAAACCACAGAAAAGAGAACCAAACTCATACTCAAAGTAAACGTTATTATTTATTCATTCAACATGTATTATTCATTTAACATATATTTAGTGTACATTTTTTTAGGTTAGCATGGTAAACCATAGGTTTAAATGAACATGAAAAAGTTTCTTTTAATATTTAACTTGTTTTCAATTGTCTGTCATTTATATGATAAATTGTTACATCATATATATTGAGCTGTTATACCTGTGGGACAAATTCTTGGAAATGAGAAGGCTGGATCATGGGGTATAAAGACTTAAAATGCTAATAGACATGTCCAAATTACACCCTAAAATGGTTGTAATAAACTACTAACAATGTATATGGGTGTTTGGCTTCAACACTTCTCTCCTTCACCTTACTAACACTTAATTAGTTCACTTTTAAAATAATTATGAATTACAGGAAAACATACTCACAAATAATTGTTATTTAAAGTAACATTTTTCTGGTTTTTAGAGCAGTTTAGATTCTTCTATTGGGTTTTGTTTTGTTTTTCTTTCTTTTTGGGGGGGTTTGTTTTCTTATCAGTGGTATTTCCTCTGTGAATGCCTTTTTTATATACTTTGTCCATTTTTTAGTTATATTTGTCTTACTGCTTATTAGAAACTCTTTATATACTAACGATATTAATCCTTGCTTGCTAAACATTGTAAATATTTTTTCCCAAAGTTGTCTTTAATTTATATAGATAGTAACCTATTCGTTTATACCAGTGTTTCTCAAATTATGTTTGGTGGAATGTCTACAAGAGAAGCATGTGGAGTGCCTGTTAAAAGATGGAGATTCTGGAACCCAAGCACTGTATGAAAATCTCTGAGAATAGAATTTTGTACTTAAAACAAATCTCCAAATGGTAGAGTCATTGCTTCATATTTTTATGTCTAGCATGATTGTATTTAAAAATGATGTTTTAAGCTTTAGCATATATTTAGATTTCAATCCATCTTAAGTTACTTTTTGTTCCTGTTACGATGCAAAAATCTAAATTAATTGTATTTTATTTTTAAGATCTTTATTTTAATTGTGCTAGAAGAATTACTAATAAATCATTTTTCTTTGAATAACTTAAATCATCATCCTTCTTATGTATTAGATTGTGACATTTCTCACATCCTTACACTGCTTAAAAGAACCATCCCTTATTATTTAAAAAAAAATTTATTTATTGATTTTAGAGAGAGAGATCAATTTGTTGCTTCCCTTATTTATGCATTCATTGGTTGATTCTTGTATGTGCCCTGACTTCTAACCAAACCCACAACCTTGGCATATTTGGATGACATTGTAATGTACTGAGGGCCTATCCCTTCATTCTTTTCATAAAACATCATATGCTTATTATAAAGAATTCATGACATACAAAAAACACTAAGAAAAAATGTTTTCTAAAAATCCAAATGTAGCAGATTGAATAGTATTCCCTCCAAAAATTCATGTGGCCTTATTTGGAAATAGGGTCTTTGCAGATGTTATTAAGTAAACTGAGGTCATACTGGATTATGTTGTGTCCTAATTTAATTATTTGCATCCTGTAAGAAGAGGGTAGACACACGGTAAATGCCACCTGAAGACAAAGACTAGAATAGAATGGAAGCCATGGAATGTATAGGAATGCCAAGGATTGTCAGCAACCACCAGAAGCTAAGAGAGAGGCATGGAACAGATTCTCCCTCAGAGTCTCAAAGAACCAACCATGCTGACATCTTGATTTTGGACTTTTGGACCCCAGAACTGTAAGTGAAATTTCTGTTATTTTATAACATCAGTTTGAAGTACTCTAGGAAACCAACATACTAACTAATTGGAAAACTGTCTTTAACATTTACAACCTGGGTGTTTGTCCCTCTCAGGATCAAATCTGCAACCCTTTGGTTTGAGATGACACTCCAACCACCTAAGTCATGCCTGCCAGGGCAATATTCTAAATTATTAAATGTTATTTTACTTGAGTATATCTGAAGAAAACGAATAGATTGTCTTTCTATTACACTGATTATTTTCACTATTTCTGTGCTAATATCTTTGTGGGTTTTTTTTGTTTGTTTGTTTTTTTGTTGTTGGTTTTTTTTTTCAGGGCAAACCCTTACTACTCTCCTCTTTCTGTGTGATCTTCAATATAAAATTTAAAATTATTTAGTTAGTTGTAACTCATCTGCAAGAGAATTTGGGACTCTGATAGAAATTGTGCTAATTTTGTAATTGAACTTGGGAAGAACTGGCACATTTTTGATACCGAGTTTTCACCCCAAAAATGGGCGTATGTTTTTGATTTACTCAGGTCTTGTTTTCGCCTTTCGACAAATGTTGAGAGATTTCATCATCCGGATCTCGTAACTTGTTCAATTTGGTTCCGAAGTATTTTATAGTTTTTGTTGCTTTGTAGAAAAGTGTTTTTATTTCATTTTTAATAGCTTATTGCTTGTTAGGAGAGTTTGTTGCACCATATAGGGCTATAGCGTTCCTGGCTAGCCCTTGGTGAGCTTACTGGTTATCTGCAAGGATTTTGCACACTCCTGCTCTGTCACCTGCTAGCTGTGTGACCTGGGCAACTTTATACCCTCTGGACCTCAAGGCAACCATCCCTTAAATGAGAATTAAACACCAGTTAATAAATGAAAGCATTTAATACAATGCCTGACTCTTTAAGGTCTATATTAAGCATAGGCTTCCATTTATCAAAGCCTACTTATCTCTCGTAATTTTTACGGTCACCTCATAAAGCGTGGTAATTTCCACTGTACAAATGAGGAAGCTAGGCTCAGAGAGCAAATGACCTGCTCAGGGTCACTCTGCTGTAACTTAGGGCTGTCTGACAAAACCAGTTCATGCCAAGACATGATCTCGTTCGCAGCAAAGCGTAAGTTCATTCTTTCAGTTTTGGCATTCTACCGGGAAGTCAAAAGTGCACTATAGCAGAAGCGAGGGGCTTCGGCTCATGCGCGTACCGTGGGGTGCGGAGGCTGGCGAAAAAAGCCGAGCGTATTCGGAAACGCTCGCCCCATTTTCGGTAACAATCGGCAGTGGGCGGGGCTCGCGCGGCGGCGCGTTTCGCGCGGCGAATTGTGGGAAGGGCGGCCGGTGCAGCCTCGGCTGCCATCTTAGCGAGTCCTGGTTTTGCGGCCTTGTCGTTGCAGGCGGCCTTCGTGGCGGCTGTCCACCTCACGGAGTGATAGAAAGTCCGCGGGCTGACAGTTCTCCTTCCCGCGCTTCAGCAAAACGGCCAGCCTGTGTCTAGAGGCGCAGGCTAGAGCTTCCAGGCGCGTGCGGGGCCCGAGGCCAGCGGTTAGCCACAGCGTCGCCCGGAAGGATGGGCCGGTCTCGGAGCCGGAGCTCGTCCCGCTCCAAACACACCAAGAGCAGCAAACACAACAAGAAGCGGAGCCGGTCTCGATCGCGGTCCCGAGATAAGGAGCGCGTGCGGAAGCGCTCCAAATCCCGGGAAAGTAAACGGAATCGGCGGCGGGAGTCGCGGTCCCGCTCGCGTTCCACCAATACGGCCGTGTCCCGGCGCGAGCGGGACCGGGAGCGCGCTTCATCCCCGCCCGACCGCATCGACATCTTCGGGCGCACGGTGAGCAAGCGCAGCAGCCTGGATGAGAAGCAGAAGCGAGAAGAGGAGGAGAAGAAAGCAGAGTTCGAGCGGCAGCGAAAAATGTGAGCGCCCGCGGGGGAGGGGCGGGAACCGGGGAGTGAGCTGGGAGGCGGGGAGTGTGGGAAATAGGGGTTCAGGGCTAGTGGGGGCTCGAGAGGGAGGTTGGAGAGTCGCAGAAACCCGCCAGAGACACTGCTGAACTGGCTTGCGGAAAGCCTGCGGCAGGACATACCTTTGAGTTTGGTGGGGAGGAAATTAGTGGGGCTTGAGCAGGAAAACCTTAGAGGGGAGAAAGCGATTTTGGCGCGAGAGGGGTTGAGAGTGCCGGAAGTAGCGGGTGGAGTTCGAAGTGGGGTTGGAGAGTGGCGTTGGCCGGAGGGCGAGGAACAAACCGGCTTGGAGAAGTGTTTGGGGAGCTTTTGCAGTACCTCTGGAGAAAAGCAAAAAGGAATTAACCCATGGGATGCAAATTGCAGCTGCCAGAGCATTCTTGTACTGCCGCTTAAATTTGGGACTGGGCTTTTCCGGAATACGACGCTTTAGGTGGTCCAACAGTACACCTCCCAAAGTGCATTTTATTTTATTGTGTTCCTGTTGTTTAAAATGTTGCGGTCGCTTTTCTTTTTTGGGGCCTATTCAGTTTATTTTGCTTTTTGAGGTGTAAAGGCAATGCATACCCCGTAAGTGTACAGTAGGATGAGCTTTGATGCTTACCGGAGTAACCACCATACCAATCAAAGTGTACTCTCTTTTACTAACTACTTTTTAACTTTGAGTTATATTATTCTGTATCCAACTCTGGTGTAAAATTGATATTTATTCCCCTCATAGTATATTTGCTGTTTAGAAGGTACTTGAATATTTGCGTTTATATTTGCGTTGCTCACATACAGATTTTTAATGTAAGAAAGTTCACAATCACATACTGTTTGGGTAAAATGTATTTCTCCTGTATCTTTTAATCCAAGAGTAGGTGTAAATGACCCCAAACTAATGAACTTTTAGTTTTAAAATGCAGTCAGTGTTTAGTTTTGTGTTAAAACCATGCTAGTCTGCTCTCTGGATATTCCTTTTGCACAGTTAATGTTGAAAGGTAGTTAAACAGATGTGCTCACTTCCCCCATTTAACTAGCTGTCTCCTTCAGTTCTTCAGTGCATGTTTAGAAAGTGCTCCTGAGACAGGAAAGTTACTGAATATAAAATTTTCCTTAGACAAATTTATGTGTACCGAATTGTCTGGTGGGTTTTAAATTTTCCTGCAGTTGGGTTTGTATTTTGTAGATTTTTCAGCAGAGCTTGTTTCTCACAGCAAAGTTATTAAGAGGTAGGGGACTGGAACACTAATATTACAGAGGAAGCAGTACCTGGAGAGGTATTTTGCTGCATTCCTTCAAAATGTTCACAATGCTTTCATCTTTCCTTTACTTCTTAGAACTGTCAATGATATAAATGAAAATCAATTACAACTAATTGTTTTACAACAAATCTTGATTGTATAGAATCCAGTTACTTGGTCTGGAACAAGATTAACTGTAAAGATGTAGCTCTCAAATATCAACAGGTGAACATTTTAAAAAAACTTACCTAAGATATCTCTTAACTTTTTTATGTGAAAACAAAGACCTTCAAAGTGACTTTCTATTCACTAGAAAGCTATGATTTGTAGGAAAAGTGAAAGGAAATGTAATATGCTAAAAATAGAACCATTTAGGGAGCTGCACATAAATAACAGAGAAGAAATCTAGGGATGAAAATCAGAAAATAGAGCAGGTAAGTAGTTCCAAGTTGATAGGAGAAGTAAACTACCATTAGCATTTATGAAGGAAGGAGAGGACAGAGCTAGCAACCACCTGTACACTGAATTTGTGTGTACCATGCAGGAGGCACTACTTAATATGATCTAATGCCTTAGATACAGTGCAAAGGAAACAAGGAAAAACCTGCATTTTGGAGCCATGGGAATGGGCATAAGTCGTCTGTCTGCAAATCCCTATTGGTTAGTTCACTCAACTAACCAATCTATTGCTCAGTTTATTCTTATGTGCTGTTAATATAAAGATGATTGACCCCTGTCCCAAGATCTTTTTCTAGCTTGAAGACAGGTAGGTATGTAGGTAGGTACAAATAATAGTGTGGTAAATTCGTTGTTGGTAATGTGACTGAAGGCAGGAAGCATCTTGGATGGATAGACACTAGTTTTCTTAAGGAATGAGTGACAAAAATACACTGTCAGGCTAGGCATAGCAAGTTACATGTGGATGAAAGGAGAAATAAAGGGAGGGGGACAGAATGGTCTAACATGGAGTAAAATGGTGAGTGTTAATTGAGATGTGAAGTTTTAAAAGTTAAAGTCATGGAGTTACTAGAGAGAGAAAGTAGAGGCTGGGAATCATGGATAGGGTCTTGTTGTTATACTAAGGAGTTTGGATTTCATCCAAGAAACAGGAAAAGCTTTAAGCAGGTAAATGGCATGGAGCCTTTAAAAAAAAAAAAAAAGATCCCTAATTGCTGTACAGAATAGACACTAGACCACACAGGAGTAGTGTGGGAGCAGTTGTTGGGATGGAAAAGAGAGACGGATTTAAGAAACCTTTAGAACCAATAAAATTGGATGTGAAATGTCAGGACAGAAAGCATTAATAATACTCTCTTGTTTATATTGTGGTTTTTCAACTCAGCCACCAGTAACTCCTGTGTCTCAGACACTGGTTAAAATGTTGGAAACCTAGGGGAGAGGGGAAAATCAAAGCCTGGCACTTCCGCTGTAGGCACTAATTTCTGGATATAGTGGTTTTTACCCAAGGTTGAGATAGGGGGCAAACCTGGGGGAAACCTTGAGAATAGAATGATGCAGGAAGAATGGATGGAGAACAGCAGGTGGTCCTAGGGACTGAAAGAACCTTAGGGAATGTTTGTATTTACTGTTGGATGGAGGAAGGAAAGCCCAAGGTGAAAGCGAAGAAAGGGCACCAAAGAACGTCTTAGTGTCAAGTGTACCTTCTAGAGGTCCAGTATGAGATGGAGTGAGACAGCAAAATTAGAACCTTCTGTTGAACTAATTAAAAAGTCTTTGGTAATGTTGGAAACCAGATTGCTTGCCATTTAACAATCCTGAGGCCTTGACTAAATCACCTGCCTGTGACCTTGATTTCTTACTTGTGAAATGGAGATGCCTGTCTTGCTTATTGTTAATATTAGAAATAGTACATTTAAAGTATGATGATAATGCTTATATAATAGGCCTCAATAGTTATTTAATATAATTTATGTAAATGCAGTCAGCCTAAGCCTGGTGAATTAAAGAAGTGATCTTAAAAGATCTTAGAATTACACATCCTTTTTCATGTGTAATTTTTTGAGATGCTACATACATGTTGTATTAACTGTTGAAAAGTGGGCAGCTGAAAATGACTCACAACACATTAGAAAATGTTAATGACATGGTAACTTAAGGTAGACTATGATAGCTAGATTTGAGTATGCTTAGTGTTTCACTATGTGACAGATTGAATGAGGGTCTTCTAAGTTAGAATATCTAAACTGACCCTAGGATCTATATGAGTGTTTTTTATTCAAAGGATATTGAAGCGCTTGTTTTGAGAGCAAAGAGTAGCATTTATGAGCAGATTTACTAGATAGAACTACATACTTTGGGGAGGTTAGGGCTTTGAGACAGAACATCAGGGCATCTAGCGGGTGTTGATAAGAATTTTATAAATTTTAAAATAATTATTTTGATATTTAAATCTTTGGGTATGCTTTTGCCTCTCACATTTGTCCTTGAGAAACAATGAAGTGTAGCATAGTGCTTGAGATCATCAGCTGTGGAACCTTCACCGCTGTAGAGTCACCTCTCAGCAACAGGAGTGAGGTGGAGCCCAGTCAATGAACTGCTTAGCCTAAGGAACCATCAAAGATGTAAATGATGACATGGTGTATAAAGCTGTTGGCAGAATATTTGGTAAATGCTGTATGCTAATATTATGAAGCAGTTCCTAGAAGGAAGTTCCTAGGGTTGAATTCACACATTTTAAAGATGTTTTTAAAAGAAGATTGTTGCAAGCTGCTCTGTACAAAGTCATTGTCTTCTTTAACTGTGCTGTTTTGCCAGCTCTTGCTATTTTGTTTTAATCATTGCCGTTTTAAAATTAATTGTGACTAGTGTTTTTAAAACAACTGAGAGGATGGAGAAAATGGAGACTTCATATTATACCATTTCCATTGAAAAACTTGAAGATTTTAATCCACCCCTTTCCTCAGTGGTAGGATACCTTGGCAAGGGAGTGGATTCAGCAGAAGAGCCCAGAAGAGCCTGATTAGAGAGAGAAAAGAACATGTAGAGACAGACAACTTCTATGCAGAAGTTTTAGGGAGTGGATCGTCAGTGGTATTAGATGTTACATATTTTGTAAGATACCAGGTGTGTGTTTGGTTTTTTTATTTAAGAAAGTTTCTGTGCCTGTTATAAAAGTTAGCCTAAGAGATGTTTTATCATTGACTATGATAAATTTGCTGTCAATAAAAATTACTGATGCTTAATTCAGTTGTGCATATGTCCACTGGTTTTCTGATTTTAGTGTGTGGGGGAGGGGAATTGAAGCACTATTTAACTTTTTCAGCACTGAATCTAAAAATTCATTTAAAATTTTCTGATTTACTGGAGTAGCAGTTACAACCTCACCAAGAATAACAGCAACAACAAAAATTATATTCTTGATAATACTTGTAGGGTAACAGTTCTTTTGTGGCGCCTTCGCCTTGCCTGTTTCTCAGCAGAACACATCAGCAAAGCAGAAGTATAATCATGGTGAGGTGCCCTGTGGTTCCTCCAAGAACAAAGGAGGATAGGCAGTCTTGTGAGAAACTCCACTAGGCCATTTCTCATCCTCCCAGTTCAGTTGAGCTTGGGACTTTCCACTTTCCCACTTGCCCTCCCCTCTATAGGGTATAAAACTGCTGACCTATAGTTAGAACTGACTTCTTAGCAGCAGAGCAACCTACCACTGTGCTTGTACTGTCTGTCACCCAGCCCCTGTGAATTGGTATCCATCAGTGAGAACAGAGACGTGGGGAGCTAACACCATGCTAATCTGGCTTTGTGCTGGAAGTGATACACTAAATTTATTTAGGCTCCTTTTCTTCTTGTTTGCTTGCTTACATACTTACTGTGGAAATGTGGCCCTGTTAGCCATTGTACTTACTACTATTACCTAGGGACTGGTTGATAGAAAACCCTGGATATGTATTAGGCCTTTTGGACCTAAGTTTAATTCAGCAACTTTTCTGTTGCTAAGCTAACCTAAAGCCTTATCCTCTTCTTTCCCTCTCTTTTTTTACTTTATATGGAAAGTGTTAATTGAAACTTTATATTTAATAGAGTTGAATTGTATCATTTTTGAAATTCTAAAATAAAGTTTCTTGGGTTTCTCTACATTTCCTAATTTCGTAAAAACGAACTAGCAAAAGTGTGTGTGGGTGTGTATACTTTTAAAATTTTGTGTTATGAAACTTTCCAACTTAATGCAAAAGTACAGAGTAGATGGGACTGTAATTCTTATATAGCCATCCTTTGGGTTCAGCAGTAGTCAGTCTTACTTGTTTTATCTTTTACTCCAGATATCTAAAAACTATAAGAAGTTATGCTTGCTCGAGTAGCTACTGTCTCCTTGACAGAAAAATGAAGAGATTTTAAATGCAGAAATTGACAAATTAGAATGTGAAAAATACAGTTGTGTTGGGATGGTATTACTATGAATAAGTAACAGGAGCTGAAAGTGAAAGCACTAGATTGGAAATAGAATCACCCCTCAAAATATCAGTAGGATTGAAGTGGATTGGGTCTTTAATGGTCCCTTAGAAACTGTAAAGTCTTCATTAAACAGAAAGAAATCAATGAAAATAATTTTAATATATTTCCAATCTCTCAAAAGATTGTCATTTAATTTAGTCAAATAAAAATATGTGGTCTTTTTGTATTTTGATCTTCAATTCAGACTAGGCACACATGAGACTATCATTGGATATCAGTGGTATAAAACTTGGAAGTTTTCCACTATAATGATTTGATAATTGACAAGATTTTCAGTGCAGAATTTTATTTTGAGTAAATAAGTTGGTTCGTGATATCTAGATGGTATTAAATAATTAAATTAAAGGAGTATTATGCTTCATTGGGCTTTTTAATAGAACTGATGATAAATACCTCCCTGCCCCCCCCCCCCCAACTTTTCCATTTCTGGAAGAGCCTTTAACTGAAAATCAGTTAACAAAAGAAAAAATACAATAAAGTGTATAAAGGTTGGAACCTGAATAAGGTGGTCTGTATTTTCACTAAAAGCTACACAACTGTTGCCTTAATAGTCTGAATCTCTTTGAGTCTGTATTCTGATTTTGCTTTTGGGGGAAGAAGAGGGAGAATAAATTTCGCTGGTCTGAATTGCTTACTACATAATGGTTGTTCCTGACTTCTCTGTAACTCAACCCTTATTTAGATTGCGTAGAATGGCAGATGAGCAAATTTGTGTATTTCCAGTTTGTCGTTTCATTGTAAAGTTGATAACAAAAGTGGATTTCCTTTTTCAGATTTGCTCTACATTTCTAAATAAAAACTGATGAATTAAGCTGTTTGTATATACTAGTTTTTGGTATTCAGAACGAGAGGAGAAAAATCGTGGTTTTATATTTATTTGAATTTCTGTATCACTTAGCATCTTGGTATCTTATTTCCTTGAATGTTATGTGAAATAGAATTGTGAAATCATGGAAACCTATGATCAGGCTCAATGTTTTACATATTTATAACTAGTTTTAATTTTTAGGTTTACTTCTTGTATTACCTAAGTTGGTTTTTTTTCCCACTTTGTTTGCTAGCCGGCAGCAGGAAATTGAAGAAAAACTCATCGAGGAAGAAACAGCGCGAAGAGTGGAAGAATTGGTAGCAAAAAGGGTAGAGGAAGAATTGGAGAAAAGGAAGGATGAAATTGAGCGAGAAGTTCTCCGAAGGGTGGAGGAAGCCAAGCGCATCATGGAAAAGCAGTTGCTCGAAGAACTCGAGCGACAGAGACAAGCTGAGCTTGCAGCACAAAAAGCCAGAGAGGTAACGCTCGGTCGTTTGGAAAGTAGAGACAGTCCATGGCAAAACTTTCAGTGTTGGGTGTGCCTCCTGCTCAGTTCAGAAAGAAATGGAATACAGACTAATTCCTTTCTCATCTAAACTTAACATTGCTGCGAAAGTTAATTTTTTAGCCTATTCAGAAGTGCTGACTGATATTTAAAAGTTATTTTCATAAAACGTATTCAAGGAAACTTTTTGATTTAATGGAACTGGCTTACATGTTTGAGAAGTGTTTGAAACTTTTGCCATGGCTGCAGGACTTACATTCTTTTTTGGGAGAGTGGGGGGACACAGGGAGTGGTAAAGGTAAAAGGTTAAAAATCCACCTGTGGTTATGTATTCTTTTCTGTTTGTCATTCTTATCACCTAGACTGTGAGAGGCTTTTTGCCTTCAGTCAGATTAAAAAGAACAGGGCCTAACATTGAGTGATGAGAGCACCTGCTTTTGATAAATAGGTCTTCTTGCTCTTTTTTCCTTCTTTATCCCTAACCCCCTCCCCCAAATTGTGCTTCACCACAATGGACTAATTCTAGCATTGTGATCATAAGGCCCTCCATTTTCCTAATGTGTTTCAAAGAATCTTTTTAGGAAAAATGTCCAGATTATTCATCCACTTTTTAGTATCTACTAACAACTCCTTTTTTTCTCTAGAGAGTTATGAAGGAACAGGTTGTCCTTGTCTGGAGTCAAGCTAAACACATGATTTGTTTTATCAGCAGCTGGAGCAGAAGTTGAAAATGTCTTTCTGTGAGACAGTAATTTGCTACTGAAGCTTTATGGCTTATTTGCACTGATTACTCCAGGATCCTAAAATTTGAGGAAAGTCCCTGAAACACTCAAGGCAAATTACTTTACGGCACTGAGTGTCCCTCAACATAATTTGCATAATGAATGTGAATTCAATTGGTGTGTGCTACATGAAATCCTATAGACATATTTTCTTGAATTTAAATATTTGACTCAAAATGTATGCCTATTGTCATTTTTAGTCTTGGCATTATTGTGGACAAGTTGACATTAATCTCTGTTTTCTAGTTAGCTTAGCTTTTCAAATGTATTTTTTCCTTTGCTATCTTTAACTATATATGCATGTTTATTTGATGGATATCACAGACTATGCAATCCAATGTATGAAATTTTTACATTAGTGCTTTTAATTGTGAAGCTATTTTTGGAGTAATGGTGCTGTCTTGTAGCGAGTTATTAATCATAGGAAGATTTTTTTCTCTTCATGTGCTTTTTGTTTCATATTAACAATTTATTTTTTTACACGGACACAACCCTCTTGACAGTCTTTCCAAATATTAAAATCATTTGACTATGTATGCTGTGATCTGAACACTGCCCAAACCATCAAGCAATCTTCATACAGTTTGCATTATAAAATCTCATTAAATTCTCCAAGAAAAAAATAAATTACAGAATTTTATTTCCTGACTATGCACCCACTGGATTCCTGATTTTAAATTCAGACGGTAGATGACAAGATAAGCTGCCTTTAGAAATTGTCAACATCTGAATGTTAAGTCCATTTTCCCCATGGAAGAAGCCCTTAGTTCCATGAAGTATGGATTACCATTTGTATTTTTCACTAACAGTAAATGTATTTTTCTTATTAATTGTTTGCCTTAGGAATGATGAATTACATTTTTTGTTCCTTCTTACCATAAACATCTGCATTCCTCAGCTCAGCCTTCCTTGTATGTTGTTTCTTTATAAATGGTTGAGCTGCTGATGCAGGTATTGCCAAGCTAACAGTACAAATCATTTTAAAGAGGAAGCTGGCGTGTATGGCAGCCGAGGAGCACACTCTGCAGGACACTGGACAAGACAGTAAATATTCAACTTTTAATGCTGATTAAAGGAGTATAGGTAAAGAATACGTAGGTATACATAATTGGTGAGACAAATATTCACTTTATTTATATTTTATATTATTTTTTTTAATTTGGTAAATACTATTCCAGTTTTGTAGTTGTCCTTGTTGATTTGTGTGATATTAAAGTATTAGTAATAATTGCCAGGAAGCTATCAATTAGGGAGGGTTTAGTCGGTTGCTGTTTGGACTGGGAGGGATAATTGAAATTTAGGGTTAGAAACAAATTTTAGTGGCTGCACAGTTTATCCTTTGTCAGACAGTAGGTAGCTGTAAAGCTACCCTGTAAGTCAGATCAAAAAAGTTCAGAGGAAGATTAGTAGATATTTATCAATAAAAATAAACATTTTATTTTTCTAACATCTTAACATGTCCTCCCCTTTAGGAGGAAGAACGTGCAAAACGTGAGGAGCTAGAGCGAATACTGGAAGAGAATAACCGAAAAATTGCAGAAGCACAAGCCAAACTGGTATGTATAAAGTATATATGAATAATATTTTACGTTCTTCTTTCCAAATTTTGTGGAATGATTTTGTGCTTTATAATTAGTTAGTTCTCTGGGTCATTTTAAGAGATTTAAGGAAGAGTAAATTGACTAGATTTGAGTTGCTGTGCTCCAGACTAATATATTTGAGGGCAATCCAGATATTCTAATTAACCTGAAGATAATTCCAAAAGTTGCACTTGAATAAAACAGGTTAACTGAGGGAAATTGTACTATCTTCATTCACATTTTTTTCCTATTCCAATCTCATTCATACTTCTATGCCTAAAAAAAGGAAAAAAAGAGGTGAAAGTATTTAAACCAGCTAATAAGCATTTCACTCTGCATTGGTTGCCCTGTTACCAATTACTATACAGAATAAATAATATATATTTGATAATAAATGTACCAGATTGTAAATTCCTTTCCACGATCTAAGTTTATGGTCTAACAGATACAGAGAATTAGTTATAACATGATACAGGGATGGGAAAGGTGATACAGAGCAATTTTTTTTTTTAAACTAGAAAAAACTATGATGAAGAAGAAAGCTAAAATTAAAAGGCTATGGACATAATTAGTCTAAAAAACAAAAATGGGTACCTGGGGACTACTTGGCCTTTTATATTCCTGTAGTAGTTTTTTTGTTTACTCTCATGAACCATAAAAATATGATTTTCTGTGTGTCATTACTGGGAAAAGATTAGGAAGTATGTTTATAGAGCAGTGCTTCCCAGGTGGTGGTAATTGGCCAGTTTTTGTTATTATAATTTCAGTTTGTCTCAGACTTCTACTTTGGCAGAATACTATTAAGATGAATTATTAGAAAAATAATCTCTGTAAAAGCTTCTAAAACACCCGCGGATCAACTGGTTTATAGATAGTTGCTGGACCATGAGCCCGTAGACTAGCACTAGTGGTTCTGGAACATTTCAGTTTGACCTAATAGATGGGTGGCACTATTCTGGCTTCATGTTACTGATGAAACTTGGATGGAAAGATATCTTTAGGAAAAAGAAGTTTGAATTTGGTAAGTTTTGGTAATTTTTGGACATAATTTGCTTCTCATATTCAGTTCAGCAAAGTTAAAAGCATAAGAAATTCTTGTTGATGTTGGAGAAAATTTTTATTTGATTTTATATGCTTTCAAGGAAAGCACAGTATCCTCTGTTTAGTACGAGACAAAAAATATTAATTGTATAAAGATGCAAGGCACACATATTGAGGTTTCTTTCATTATTGTCCTTTCCTTTTCCTCTCAGTTTTTTGAGCACAGTTCTTTATAATCTTTATACGTTTATTAAGAAATATTACATGGAATGTATTGAAAGCCTCATTAAAATAACAGATACTTAAGAAAGGAAGGAGAATATAACAGTGCTGGAGGTAGTATGGGACTTTTCTGGGTATGTCTGTCAGTAGTGCTAGTTTATCTTGTTGAACCAACAGTTCTGTTTGCTTCATGACATAATGTGCTAGAAATGTGGAACAGTTGGTTCTATATAAAACAAAAAAGAATGGGATGCTTTCTAGCTTCTAGAAAGCAAGGAAGGAAGACAGATTGGCCATTCTTAACTATTCATAAGTAATCTATATTGAGAAACTAATGTTTAAAAAACAATTTGGAGATAAAAATAGACAAGGTATTAAGTTCTCTTAATGCATTTAATGTATTAATTGTGGAGGCAAGGACACCTCCAAGAAAGTTAACTGATGATTTGGAAATACTTGGTAAGTGGTATGGACTGTGTGAGATAATTGACATAATTGCACTGTGAGAGACACACCCGAGCTGAATCTTGATGGATCATTAGGTGTTGAATTTAGGGTGAGGACAAGAGCACAAAGAAATTAAGCAGGTCAAAGCCCTTTTGGGAAGTAGAATTGGAATAAAGGAAAGAGTGTTTGGGATATCTCAGGCTAGTGGGAAAAGTAGTAGCTGTTGTAGTAGCAAACGAACTTTATGTGTACTGCGAAAGAAGTATGTGTGATAAGTAATGGGAAAATGGGAGGTCAGGTTTTGAAAGCAGATGAAAGACAGGTTGGAAAAGAAAGTACCTTGGGGGAGATTTATAAAAAAGAAGACCATCTCACTAATAGGGGGAAAAAAGACTGAGATTTAAAAGAGGTACACACAAGAAAGAATGAAGAATAACTATAATAATTTCCTGAAAATATATCTCAGCCTCAGTAGAAAAGCAGAGAAATGCCTCCCCTTTCTTTTTTTCTAACACTAAACACCAAATTAGAAGTGGTGCTTTTTTTTTCCTCTCATTAGTATGAGATGTTGGCAAAGATATGGCAGTCCTGGGAGTTTAAATGGATATGACCATTTTAGAAAATGACATTAAATACAGGAAACTTAAATTCTGCTTCTAAGAATTTATCTCGTGGAAACTCAGTCAAATATAAATAAATTTACAAAGATGTTCTCCCCAATATTATTTGGAATTTTGAAAATTACCCAGGTTTTTACATAAATTAAAATACCTACATATAGTGAGTTTTCTGTAGTCAGAAAATATTTGATAATACAGGGGGAAATAGCTAAGTACAGTATTATCCTAATTCCCAAAATATATTTGCACATTTTATACACAGAAAAATATGCTAAAGTGCTAAAAATAATCTCTCATTGGCAGGCTTATTTGTAACTTTATACTTTTTTTTCTAGTTTCTACATTTTCTACAGGTAAAAATATTAGTAAGAAAATAAAGCCACACTTAGACAAGTTTTTTTTTTTTTTTAATGTTTTTTTAAATTGGTTTTTAGAGGGGGCAGGGGGGAGAGTAGAAATACCGATTTGTTGTTAACATTTATTGGTTGATTCTTAATTGTTCCCTGACCAGGGATAGATCCTGCAACCTCGATGTATGGGGCAGTGCTGTAAACCAAGGGTCTTGCCCCCTCTACCCTGTTGGAGTCGTGTGTTAGAAACCAGAAACCAGAGCAGGGAGCAAGCAAAATTTCATTAGCATTACAGCCTGAGCTCTGCCTCCTGTCTCCCCTGCCCATCCCCAGTCCGTGGAAAAATTGTCTTCCATGAAACCTGTCCCTGGTGCCAAAAAGGCTGGGGACTGCTGCTCTAGCCAGTTGAACTACTGGGCCAAGACTGTTGACTAAATTTTTAGTAGGTCCTTGTGGCAAAAGTTCAAAGATTGGTCCCAGTACTTAGCTTAGCTACACAGGCTCTCTCGAATGAAAATTGTTAAGTTCTGTAGACTAAGGGTAGTTTTTGCTCATTTCAATTTCAAAGTGTTTATCTAGGTATTTGATATTATCTGTCCATAAGGAAGCAAAAACTATTAACAGACACAAAATCAAATAAGAGTCCAAATGTGTCGTGGCTTGACTTGACTTGGCTTTTTGGCAGATTGGGTTCTAGTTCTTGGGCTAGTGCTAGCAGTGCACAAGTATCTTCAAATAATTAGAAAACTGTAAGTTTTTTTCTCCACATAGTTTTCTTATGATGTACATGCAAAAGCCCAAATATTATGTATATGATTCTTATTTATTTAGAAAAGGAAACAGGACTAAGAAAGGTAATAGATGTTGATATGGAATAAAATGTTCTTCCAAAAGTTTCTGTCAGTAGCAAAAAGAACTGTCAAACTATCCCCTAGTGAAGATGCAAGGATATGGAACCTGGTTAGTTACTTTGCATGTAAACACCTAAGCTATAATAAATCAGGCTGAAAATTTCTGATAGAGTTGTAAATATGCTTATAAGAAGAGAAAAAAAATCAATTTTAACTGGTGGGACATTCTTTAAGTTTTAAAATATGTGCAAATTAGAAGTCCTATAGACTTACAGATTATAGAGGTGGTTTTCTTTAATATTGAAATAGTTTTTCCGCTTACCAAATAACAGAGATTACCCATTTTCATTGTACTTTAACACTGTGTATCTCACTAGTTTTGAGAGATGAAAAAAATAGTACCATACATGGAAAGTATTTCACATACTTAAATTTAAAGTAAACCAGGGAACACTTTGCATTTAAGAGATACCTCTGAAAAGACTTCGTAGAAAAATGTGAGCAAGGATTTGTTTAATGAGTTTGTGCAATAAGCTGAAAAGTAAACCTCCATACCCTATGTCCTAATCCCTGGAACCTGTGAATGTTAACCTATGTGGCCCTCCAAAAAAAGTCTTTGCAAATATGATTAAGTTAAGGATTTTGAGATGGGAGATTTATCCCAGATTATCTCCTATGCCCTAAATGCCATTATGCATGGTTAGAGGGTGCAGAAGATTTTACCATACAATCCACAGGAAAAGCTGAAGACAGCAGAGAGAGATTTGAAGATTCTGGCCTTGAAGATTGAAATGATGTGGCCAGAAGTCAAGAAGTTCTGGTAGCCACCAGGATCTGAAAGAGGCAAGGAACAGACTCTCTCCTAAAGCCTCCAGAGAGAACAGGGCCTTGCTGATACCGTGATTTTTGGTTCAGTGATGTTGATGTCAGACTTCTCTCCACCATAATAATTTTTTGTTGTTTTCAGCTACCTAGTTTGTGATAATTTGTTATTTAAAAATGTGGAAGTGGCTTTTGAATTGGACATTAGGTAGAATCTGGAAGAATTTAGAACCAGTTATACGATAGAAAATGTGTAGGCTTCTTTAAAAACCCTGTCAGGTAGAAATGTAGACTTCAAAGGCAGTTCTGTTTAGGATTCAGAGGCAGATGAACGTGTTGCTGGAAACTGGAAGGAAGGAGGTCCTTGTTATATAGTTGGAGAAAACCAAGCTGAATGGTATCCTACAGATACAGTAAGGTATCTGACTTAAAGTCAGAACTTTAAGTGATGAACTTGCATGTATTTAGCTGAGGATATTTGTAAAGTGCTGAAGGTAAAATCTGGTTTGTACTTGCTTTTTATAGTGAAATTCGATGAGAGAAGTTGAGGAAAGAACTGATAAGTAAAAAGCAATGAGCACTGAATGTTTGGGAAATTGTTCAGTCTATCTGGATTACAAAAA